TCCAATACTATGGAATTGCGGCCCTACTATCCCCTATTTTTAATTTTAAAATCGATTTTGGCGCTACTCCGCTCGTTTGGGTGGAGTACAGAAATCGATTTAAAGGGCCCTTTATTTCGAAATAAATGGCGTCGTTGTGTGGACGGTTGCAGGGTAAATTCGAATTAACGCTGATAAAACCGAATTAAAGTCGTAGTGTAGACCAGGCCTCATATTGTGAAAATCTGTCCCTTCACCTCCATCTCCATTCCCAAAACCTTGGTCCATGCTTTGATTATCTTTTGCCTTGGCTACTGTACCTTCTCCTTTCTAGCCTCCCAAAATCTCACCTTGTGCCTCCTCAAATCCTTTTGTTAGGATGCAGTCATCTGCATCCTCCTCCTCTGCAACTATTTCATTTTCCCTCCTTTAGTCCCTTCACTGGTTTCCCATCCTTAATATTAAATTCAGACTTCTTATTCAGGGCTGCACAGTACTGCTTCTACTGAAATCTTATATTTTGTTGTTACCTTCTTGTTATTTGCATAAGTATTATGCCATTCAGCTCTCTTTAATGCTGTTTTTGTCTTCTTTCCATAAACAGCTATGCACCTTTTCTTATGCAGCCCCCTATGCCTGGAACATCCTCATGCTCCTCTCTTCAGATCCTACCCCCATTAGCTTTCTGTTGCTGACTGCTACTCTGGCCATCATTCTACTATGCCTAAACTTAAATATATTAAATCTGCATATTTTAAAAGGTGTATATATAGGAAGTAACAGACTGCAAAAATAACAAGCAGCATATCTCCGGATCAGGCCCTTTGTTGTTCCTCATCCTCCAGTACCTCATTTTGTGTGTGGTATAGGTCTGACTTTTTTTAAAACTTTCTATAAAATAAGGGCAATACACATCTGTAGTACTATAGAAATAATATACACGAGGAATTGTGCAAAGAAGAAAAGTACAAGAGAAAATTAAATCCAGAAACTAATTATAGAGAGATTCTATAACCTATTACTGACTCTTTCATACATTCCTCCTTTGTCTTGTAGTAGTTCTTAATCTGGATTTTTCAAATTAATTAACATTTTACCAACATATCTTTTGCTCTAATTTACGCCGTTTCTGTGGCCTATAGAAGACAGTGTGATTCTTGAAACCTGCATGACATTTTTTCTAGTCAATCCCATAATAGTCACCTACAGTTTTTTTCCTATTTAGTAAAAGAGTTGACACATTCAATTTTCATAAATTATTTCTTTACGTTTTCATTTTTACCAAGTATTATTTTCTATTAATTGTCCTCATGTAACATCACAACATAATCTCACACAATGGGTGAGAGATTCCGTGTTGTGCTTCTAACAGGTGGAGCATAAAATTTGCAGTCCAGGGCCGAGGGGGATAAAATGGCTTTAAGACATCTTTGCACCTTCTTGATTCTGGGCTGCTAGCCTGCTTAGATAGTGTATGTAAGTTATAGAAGCCTCCCTGGACTGTCCTATCTGTGATAACAGTGTGTGCTGTGGTCCTGCCCTACCACAGCCCTCCCGCCCCCATGCCAGAACTTGTGAGAAGGTCCTTGGAAGACAGCCTTACAGCTGTCTTCTGCAGAGTCTGTACCAGAGGAATTCTCTCTGAGATAGTTCGGAACGAAGAAGATTCCATTTTGATCCTTTTACCTGGCATAAAAGATGTGGAGTAGGGATGAGAATCACACCCAATGTGATAATTTTTTTAACTTTCACTTACTAAAGATGCACATTTTTCGTTTGTGTTTTAACCTCTCCCATCCCCAACAGTCAGGGCTTTTATTCATGAGTTATGGACAGGGAAATGATCTTGTGGTTAACTAGTTCCCAGTTTTGCTGTACATTTCCTATGTGACTTGGGACTGAATGTCTCTGTGCCTCAGTTCCTCATCTGTTAAATGAGGACACAACTTCCTTGCCCTATGGGTTTTATAAGAAAAAATCCATTCAAGTTTGAAGTGCTCTGATTGGAGGGAGAGAGATTTGCTGCTCATCCTTGAATACTAATCAGCTTTAGGTAAAACTATGTTTGTTTCGTTTCAGGGATTGCTTTAGGTACCAAAGGTGCTTCTGGGCTATTTCCTTCTGAAGCAGCAGAATGGCTTTGCTATCATGCTTTCATTATCAAACTGACAAACCACAAAGTTGTCTACAAGTGCCTTCTTAGGTTCCTAAAAATATGTAAGTACAGAGTAACGTTGAAAGTGAAACTTTTGAAATATAGATAATGTATTCAAATCTGCTTATGCACATGCAAACAAAAATGGTATAATTTTTCACCATTGCCTACAGCCCTGCTCTAGTTAAAGAAGTGTCATTTCTATTATGTGACGCTTATTAAAGGTTTATGTAAACTAATTGTTTAACTTATATTAGCCAAATATGGGTATAGAAATTCTCTGCCTATTAAATGAGTTGCGATTTAAATGCTCTGATTACTACCCCAAAAATAATAACTGACGCTTAAAATATCCTCCGAGAACATAAACTCTTGGCAAAAGATTGACATTGGGAACCACTAGTTTTAACAGAAAATCATCATTGCGCCATTTATATTGTATATACTCAGCATGATTGCCATTGTCAAGGTTCTAGAGCTCTTCCATTCAGTTTTATTTTACTTATTTTCTCTTTTTTTTGCTTTTGTTTTAAACTTTTGTAATGTTCTAAACACAAGCATGTACAGAGGTGCACAAGATCTGTTCAGGTATAGAACCCAGGACTCCAATATAACAGGATCAAGGCACATCCATTTCCCACAATCTTTCAGAAGAAACATGGCAAATTAGATGCTTCTGTAACCTACACTACCACATTGTGGCTCTGTCACACTGTAGCAGCTAGACCACTGCAAGAAAAATAGGATATAAAGCAAACCTTAATTTAAACAACTGCTTAACTGATTACACCTACCGCCTTTCTTAGGGTTCTTTTAATTTTGATTGCTTAACTACAGAAAAGGACTACAGAGTTAAATTTAGTTTTGTAGAATTTTATTAAATATCCTTAATGAAAGCAACTAATAGTATAGGATATGTGATATAGCAGGGCCAGAGGGTACCAGGAGAGTGATAGATGCGAGAGACATAAGCCCCAGGATGATCAGAGCCTTATTCCCGGTGGACTGAGGAGAGGTTACTACAAGTTAATTAGAGCACCCGGAGCCAATTAAGGCCCTGCCAGAGACCTAATAAAAACCTCTGATTCAGTCAGACAAGGAGGGGGGAAGGATAGCTGACTGTAGTTTTGAGGAGTACTGTTGTTAACCAGAGGATCACAGTACCAGAAAAGACAGAGCAGAGGGACTCCCCAGGCACAGAGGACTGAGGGAAACCCTGCCCAAGGAGGGAGAGGGGAGGAAGCCCACAAAGCTGAAGGGGCTGGAACCCTGAGTAGGGGACAGGCCCGGGTCCCTTCCCGCTATCCTTCTCCGTTCCACCAGGGCACTAATGGAGCCCTTGATGCCCAAGAATAGGGGCAAGAGGTGGCGCCCTAACCCATCACACGAAAGGAGAGCACAGGACCTACCATAATAGTGCCAGCCATTTGCCACATGTGGTGTGAGGAGTGGGATTCCGTACTGTGAAGTTAATCCAGGGTGAGCCAAAACCAAGGTGGTCGACGTGGTCAAGGCACTAGTGCAAGCCACAGCGGCCCAACAGAAGGCTACCCTGATCCAAGCAGCTGCCCAACAGGAGGCGGTATGGCTGCAGCAGGAGACCAATCGCCTGCTGATGAGCCAGAACCGCACTGTGCTGCATGAAGTGGTGAACCAGGTGAAGGCCCTTATGGAGCTGAGCTGTGAGTGTGACGGGACACAGACTGTATGGGCCAGCAACTGCCTGCAGAAAATGATGCGGGAGGAAGATGTGGAGGCATACCTCTTGGCCTTCGAGAGGACAGCCCTGTGGGAGGGCTGGCCCCAAGATCAGTGGTCTGGCATCCTCACCTTGTTCCTGCGTGGGGAAGCCCAGGAGGCCTACTACAATATGGCCAGGGAGGCTGCAGCAGACTACCACAGCTGAAACCAGAAATCCTGGCCAGATTCGGATTAACGACGGCATTGTGAACCCAGAGGTTCCATGAGTGGCAGTATAGTGAGGACAAGGCACCACGGTAGCAACTGTTTGACCTAATCCACCTGACCCGGAAGTGGCTGCATCCCGAGGCCCTCAGCTCTGAGAAAATGATGGATCTCCTGGTGCTGGACCAGTATATGAGGGGGCTATCCTCGGGCTTCCGAGCCTGGGTTGACCAGAATGACCCTTCCACCTATAATGAGTTAGTCACCCTCATAAAGAGACAGCTGGCAGCCCATGAAGTGTTCCAGACCTCAGGAGATGAGGCACAATGGATCACGAAGCCAGTCCCAACCCCGAGACCCCAGACTATCGAGAACTTCAGGAGAACTGTAACTGGAAGGAGGGGCGCCGAGGAATGGCCTGAAGCCATGAAGGGACCTGAGAGCTTGCGGGGAGAGGGTGCGGGCCGAATAGCCCAAGGCAGAGGGTGACAACCAGAGTAAGAAGAACAGGAGTACTTGTGGCACCTTAGAGACTAACAAATTTATTAGAGCATAAGCTTTCGTGGACTACAGCCCACTTCTTCGGATGCAAGTGGTCTGTAGTCCACGAAAGCTTATGCTCTAATACATTTGTTAGTCTCTAAGGTGCCACAAGTACTCCTGTTCTTTTTGCGGATACAGACTAACACGGCTGCTACTCTGAAACCAGGGTAAGGTATCGATATTATGAGTGTGGGGAATTGGGGCACATAGCAGCCTGGTGCCCCAGCAGGGAGGAGCCCATGCAGTGCAATCTGCGGGATCACAGGGAGCAATGTAGCCTAATCGCCCTGGTGGGGGTTGCAATGACCCCACATGGGTACACCTGTGGTTGGTAAAAATGAATGACATTGAGACCACAGATTTGGTGGATTCTGGGAGTGCTGTCACGCTGGTCTCAGGGAAGTTAGTGGGGCAAGAGCAACTGACCCAGGCCAAAAACACAGGAGTAATGTGTGTTCATGGCACCGTAAATTTCTACATCACAATCCCAGTGTGGATTGAGATCCAGGAGAATACTACCAAGGTGACCGCAGGGTTGGTCCCCAGACTCCCCTACCCGGTCTTAATCAGGAGGGACTTCCAGGGTTTGAGAACCTACTCCGCCCCCAATAGAGCTAGGGGAGGGTAGCAATCCCCAGGCTGAGATCAAGGCACCCATGGATAGCCATGCCCCAATTTTTGCCAGACTTGCCCCAGAATTATTTTCAGCATCCGAAAGCCCTGGAAATCTAGGCAGGAAAGGAGGGCAAATAAAAGGTTAGGAACCAGGATTTTGGCAGGGAACCAGAAAGCATTGCCCTGGTTAGTAGGCAAACTTGTCCGGGAGGCCAGGAGACAGCTCGGACCAGTGAGGATCCGGAGGCGGTCCCCAGCACCAGTAAGAGCAACTCAGGGGGCAGAGTTGAAACCCATCCCATAAAATTAGGCCAGATTGGTCCCGCACACGAGAATTTTGGGAAGGACCAAGCCTATGACCCACTCTATGCAAATGTGAGGGAGCAGATAGTGGAGGTAAACGGCATGCCCATAGAGGGGAAATCCAAAGGCCCAGGGCCATACTATGTGGTCAAATGCAATCTGTTGCACTGTTGTAGCCCAGATATGGGGGGGAAAGATAGAGCAGCTCTTAGTACCACAGGGGGGAGGGATAGCTCAGTGGTTTGAGCATTGGCCTGCTAAACCTAGGGTTGTGAGTTCAATCCTTGAGGGGGCCACTTAGGGATCTGGGGCAAAATCAGAACTTGGTCCTGCTAGTGAAGGCAGGGGGCTAGACTCAATGACTTTTCAAGGTCCCTTCCAGTTCTAGGAGATAGGATATCTCCATTTATTTATTTAATTTATAATAATAAGCACACAAAGGCAGTGTTAGAGCTAACTCACAGCCATTTATTTGGGGGACACCCAAAGAGTAGATAAGACCCTGGTTAAAGTCCTAAGGAGGTTTTACTGTCTAGGAGTACAGGCGGAAGTCCAGTGCTATTGTGCCTCCTGCCCAGAATGCCAGTTGCACAGCTCCCGACCTCATTTACAGGCCCCATTGGTGCCCTTGCCTGTTATTGAAGTCCCTCTCAAAAGGATAGCCATGGACCTAGTGGGCCCCATAGAAAGATCGGCCCGGGGCCACCGAAGCAAACTCTTCATCCTTGACTATGCCACACGGTGCCCAGAAGCCATTCCCCTAAGAAGCCCCATGGCCAAGGCAATAACAAAATAAATGCTCCAGGTTTTCGCTAGAGTGGGCATCCCTAAGGAGATCCTGACTGACCAAGGGATTCCCTTCATGTGAAAATTAATGAGGGACTTATGTACCTTACTCTGCATCCAGGCCTTATGTACCTCAGTCTATCATCCTCAAACAGATGGTCTGGTCATGTGATTTAATTGTACCTTCAAAAGTGTGATCCGGAAAGTGGTGGCTTGGGATCGAAATGACTGGGACCCTTCTACTACCCTGATGTTTGCGATACGGGAGGTTCCCCAGGCGTCTATTGGATTCTTCACCTTCGAGCTACTATATAGAGGCCACCCACGCAGCCTATTAGACATCACCAAGGAGGATTGGGAAGAAGAGCCCAACCCAGGGAAGAATGTCATTGAGCACGTGGCACAGATGAGAGAGCGAGTAGCCCAAGTGACCCCCATAGTAGGAGAGCATTTAGAGACCTATTATAACTGCCAGGCGAAAGCATGAAGATTTCAGCCAGGAGAACAGGTGCTGGTGCTGGTATGGCCATATGAGATAGTGGAAGTCATTGGGGAGGTGGACTATAAGGTAAAGCAACCAGGACGCTAACTTATTGAAACCCTGGCATGATCGGGAGACATGCCTGGTCACCCAGGGAGCTCCACCCCAGACAGATGGCCCACAAGGGTAGGTGAGGATATTCCCCGAACTAACCCCGGAACAATAACCAGAGATCATTGATATGATCCAGCAGAACCAAGACGTGTTTTCCGTGCAGCCAGGCCATATGACAACGGTCCAACACCATAGCGTCACCTGCCCCGGAGCAAGGGTAACAATAAAACCATACCAAGTACTGGAGGCCGAAAGGGAAGAAATTAGGATGGAGGTGAGGAGGTTTTGTA